AGTGACTAACACTTTGCTATTACTGTACCTATTTTTGTTTCCCAAAATATTGAGAAGTGTTAATAGAATAATGCTTTCTTAAGGATGTCATACTGATCATAAATCTCAGAAAAGGATTTCCAGAAAAACAGTAGAGTGACAGTGATTTTATATTATGCAGCTGTTATCTATCTCCTAGGTACAAAAATAAGCATAAAACAGAAGAAAAATAGTCCTCTAAAATAACACATGGCATAGCTAATACTTTTAGGATTAAAATGAATTTCTAAATTTTGCTGAAAAGAGAACTGAGTATAAACTCACAATGTGAAACTTTAAAAAAATGAACAAATGAGAGTTTGGGGAAAATAAATAAATGTTAAGTCTTATGTTTAGATTTTGGTTGGATTTTTAATTATTAATATTCTGAGGAGAGAATGGAAAAAACTATGTAACTGTTTATATAAAGTCAGAATTTTAGTTTATTATAAATTGAAGTGAGAGTCAATCCTTAAAGGAATTTCATCACCAATATCATAAGCTATTTTCCTCAAGAAAGGTAAATAGCCCATCAAGCCCTTAAGAGTGAAGGCAGATTGATATATTGCCACATGAGCAGCCTGAGTCAACAAGCCTTTATCTAATGGAAACTCATGAAAAGTTCTATTCAAATCTAAGTTTGCTTGTAAGACCAACCAAGTAAGGAGAGATGAAGACGCTGAAAGCACAGAAGAGAAGTAACATATTTAGCTCCTTCCTCTCTCTGCATAGGTACCCCAGGATCATTAGATTCTGTTATTCTCATTATTCATGGATTCTATATCTACAAATTTGCCTACTTACTTATTTGTATTTTGGCTGGTCTTTCCAGTCATTCATGGACATGTGCAAAGAAGCAAAAATGGGGAATACCCAACATGCACATTCCAAACTGAGGCCAAACAAGGCCTTCCTATTTAAGGTCTCATATTATAAGTAAGTATCCTTCTTGCAGACTATTTAAGTGCGTTGTTTATTGGATTTTTGTCCTTTTTTATTGGTGATTTCACTGGTGGAAATAGCTCTCAAGCCATCAAGTGTTGTCTATAGTGTTTCAAAGCACAAGAAATTTGTCACGTGCTTAATGGAAAAAATATGTATGTTAGATATGCCTACTTTCAGGCATGAGACAGTGTCGCTGACCAAGAGTTCAATGTTAGTGAATCAACAGAATATACTAAATAAGGAGTCTTTAAGCACAAGCATACATTTATACATGATCAGTTAACAAAGGTGAAAAGAGGTTTGCAGGAACCTAATCCTGTACTTCTTCTAGGAACAATGGGTTCAGTATTTGTTAATTCAGTATCCATGATGACTTCCTAGAACTTAACTACCCTGAATGAGAATGATCATAGTTATCCATTACCCTATAACACACTATCTTCAGGTTATATCAACCCATAAAGTTGGGGTTTGTTGAAAAGTTTTCACAAATGAATGAATGTTGGTTAAATTTCTCATGTAAGAGCCCTCATGAAATAATCATGTTCCTCTTGTAGAAGAATGGATATTTCTAAGTTTGCTGTTAACTAAGAAGTGGTATACTCTGGGAAAAGGACATTACTTTTAAATGGTAAATTCTCAGCTTACCAAGCCAATTCATTGTCTTCAAAATTGATCTTCTTTTCTCAGATGAAGAGTCTATGCTCTCTTGATTTCTCAGGTGTGAACACAATAAAAGATTAATTTGAATCAATCGCCATCCACAGAGTGCTAAGTATTATGTATAAGTAGTACAGCATGAAAAGATCCATAGACCATGCTTGCTTTACTTTACCTGTTCAAACTTGAAGCTTTTAGAGAGACTTACTGAATGGAAATCGTGTTTCCCTTTAGAATGACAGTTTGTCAGTCAAAAGAAAAGCTTTTAGGAACTTATCTCAAATCAGTTAGTTTTCTTTTCAGATGGGGACATATGTGTAGGACTTCAGAAATGACACACTTGACTGTCTTTTTCTAGTCAAGATGACAGTGTCAATTAACTGAAGCCAATCAATAGTGGTAGCTGTCTTCATGTAAAACAATACTGGGTTTATAAATACAAAATATATAGACGTTAGGTGGCTTATTGGAGAAGGAAATGGCAGCCCACTCCAGTACTCTTGCCTGGAGAATTCCATTGACAGAGGAGCCTGGCAAGCTATGGTCCATAGGGTTGCAAAGAGCTGGACACAACTGAGCGGCTAACACTTTCACTTTTCAGGTGGACTGTAATTTTGTTTTAATAGACTTGACAAGTTAAGTAATCTAAAACTTAATTGTGATCGAATACAGCTTTAAGGGTGATCACCTAGAGAGGAAAAAGAGAATGTTATTTCTTTGAAGGCATATTTGGTTATTCCTCTATATGCTCAGTTTTCTGGAGAGTGAAAAGTGGAAGAAGTACTGGTCTCTCCCGTGGGTCATGAGGAACACCCACTCATCCATCTCCCGCTCGGTACCATGACCACCATGTCTTTGCCTACAGAGTTAGCTCTCAGCTTTTCTCTTCTGGAGAAAGACTGTCACCTTGAAAGTTGACACCTCAAGAATGTCACCTTGAACTCCAGGACTGACTTCTGAATGCAAAGAAAATACTGCACACAAGAAATGGAAAAAGAGACCTTACTTTTCAAACTCAAAATAACCACATTCCAAATTTATGACTCACTAGTCCCTCTCTTTTATAAAGTCCAGATGGTAACACTAGAGATGTTATAAAACTTTCTATATCTGTACCCACTCTTTTACTCTTGTGACTCTCAAGGGACAACAGCATTCCTTCCCTTCTGTCTTTCCCCTTGAAACCTTACAAGACAGACAACTCTCAGGACAAACTATGTGAATAGTTCAAATTGAGAACCACTCATTCAATAGAATGCACCTCCTGATGTTATATATAACATCATTTACAAAGTTCTACTATCAAAAGATGTTTCATGAATGTTTCAGGAAAAAGATGGGAGATAGTGGAACAGATTAAATGACAAATCAAGGAAAATCAGACAAGTCCAGAATGTGAGCCATTCTACTAGAAAGCCACTTCACTAGAAAGGTGTTTTCTTTAAAAGGTCAATTGTAAGGAAAACTGTTTTAAATCTTTTGGGACAATTTAAGAAATGTAAATAGGAGCAGTATTAGAGTAATCGCTATTAATTTTCTTTGTCATGGAAATTATGATGCAAGTATACAGGAGCAGGACCTTTTTCATGAAATGCTTACTGAAGAATCGCAGGCTGATGTTTAAAACTGACATGAAACCTATAAAAAACCAATAAAACTTGTGGGATTTCTGGACACTGAAATATGAATTATTGCATGAGAAGAATTTCAGGAAAAAAAGTAAAACTTAAGGCTAGAAAAAATATGGCTACAGTTACATATTAAATGTATATCTGCAAAATAAAGCACTAAGGTAGAAATGCAGTGGTAAAAGACAAAAAAGAAGAAACAGAAGTCAAGCCCTGGTCATGGCAAATGTTACAGTAAGGATAATAATCAGGCTTAATGTGCAGAATTAGAAATCATTAATAAAAACAAAAGACTCTGAAAAGTGGTACCGGAAAAGCATCAGGTTCAGCAGTCTTTATTTTGTCTTTTCAAAGAAACAGCTTTTGGTTTTCTTGATTTTTCTCTATTGGCTTCCTATTTTCAAATTCATAGATTTATTTCTGCTATAATTTTTATTATTTCTTTTCTTCTACTTACTTTGAAGTTAATCTGCTTTTCTTTTTCTAGTTTCCTGAGGTAGAAGCTTCTACTACTGATTGTAGATACTTCTTCTAATATATGCTTTCAATGCTCTAAATTTCTATCTGAGCACTATTTTCACTGAATCCCACAAATTTTTATAAATTGTTTTCTCTTTTATTAAGCTCAAAATAATTTAAAATGTCTCTTGAGATTTCTTCTTTGATTCATACATTATTTAGACATGTATTATTATTTACTAAAAAAAAAAGACCCAAGAAGATAGCTTATAAAGGTCAAATGAACATTGGTCATAGATTTTACATACATATGTTTCTTCTTTCAAGTTTTACTACACAGGTGAATAAACATTCTAAATTAAAAACAAAAATTAGGAAGCTTAGTAAAACATTATGAAATGAAACAATGTTAAAAATGTTTTTTAAAATAATAACTTGTAACTGACTATGTAGAAAACAATATCCTTAAAACCAGCACTTTATCTTCAGTCAGAAACAAATTCCTGAATTTTGTGCAATTCTGGTCCATATCAGTATGTTCCCTGCCCATTTTCCCTAACTTCTATTTTTAATTCTTTTAAAAATTATATTTGCTAAATTATTATATAGCAAAACTAATTTTTTTATATTGATCTATATGAGTTATATTGAAACACAAAGACCCCAAATAGCCAAAACAATCTGGAGACCAAAAAACAGAGCTGGAGGAATCAGACTTCATGACTTCAGACTATGCTACAAAGCTACAGTCATCAAAGCGTCACAGTACAGGCACAAATACAGAAATATAAATCAATGTCACAGGATAGAAAGCCAGAAATAAACCCACACACGTATGGTCAATTACTCTATGACAAAGGTGGCAAGAATATACATGGATAAAAGACAATCTCTTCAATCAGTGGTGCCGGGAACACTGGAGAGCTACACATAAAAGAATGAAATTAGACCATTTTTTGACACCATACACAGAAACAAACTCAAAATGGATTAAAGACTTAAAGGTAAGACTGGATATTATAAAACTCTGAGAGGAAAACACAAGTAGGACACTCACATAAACTGGAGCAATATTTTTTTTGATCCATCTTCTAGAGTAATGGAAACAAAAATACAAATGAGACCTAATTAAACTTAAAACCTTTTGCACATCAAAGGAAACCATAACAAGACAAAAGGGCAGCCTATAGAAGATGAGAAAATATTTACAAACAATGCAACCAACAAGGGATTAATCTCCAAAATATATAAACAACTCATACAGCTCAATATAAAATAAAACAAACAACCCAATCAAAAAATGGGCAGAAGATCTGAATAGATATTTCTCCAAAGAAAACATACAGATGACCAAAATGCACATGAAGAGATGTTTAATGTTGCTAATTATTAGTGATTTAGTTACTTACACACACACACTTTGCTAAACACCTGAAATGAACACACTGTAAATCAGCCATACTTCAAATAAAAAACTGCTTTGATAAAATCTAATTTTAAAAAATTTAGATACAATAAATCACTTCTGCTTTACATCACTTCATTTCACAAAAGACCTACATTATTAGTACGTGTTTTCACTAACCAAAAAAAAAAAAAAAAAAAACTCTGTAGAGTATTTTAGCTTTTATTTAAAAAAAGGTGATTGCTTCTTTGATTTAGACCATTTCTCCTTACAAGAGGTTTCACAACACAGCCTACTTTTGCATAAGAAGGAAACCTATAATATCATTTCTTCTGTAAGTATTGGCAAGAACTCACCAGAAAAACCACCTGGGTCTAGACATTTCTTTTTTGAAAAGTTTTAAACCATGAATTAAATTTTTTTAACAGTTTTAAGACTAGTTACAATAATCTTTTTCTTCTTGGGTGAGTTTATGTACTCTGCTAAGGAATTAATCTATTTCAAAGAATTGGTCCACTTCACCTAATTTGACAAATTTATGTCCACATAAGTTGTTCTTAGTATTTCTACTATCCCTTGGATTCTTGTGGGGTCTGTAGTGATATTCTTTCATTTGGCACTGGTTCTATATGTCTTCCCTTTTCTTTTTGTCAATTTTGCTAGAAACTACCAATTTTGTTATCAATCTTTGGTTTTACAGACTTCTGTTGTCTTCCTGCTTTGAATTTCATTCATTTCTCCTCTTATTTGGGATTTATTTTGTTCTCGTCTGTCTAGTTTTTGAGACAGAAACACACAGATTTGCACACTTTCTTTTTTTTCCTAATGAAAGCACTAAATACAGTAAGTTTTCTTGTAAACACTGCCTGTACAGCATATATTCTGACATGATATATATTTTCAGTTTCGTTCAGTTCAAAGTATTTTTTAATTTCCTCTGAGGCTTCTTCTTTTAGCCAACAGATCACTCAGAAGTCTGCTATTTAATTATCTTGGAGCTTGGAGATTTTCCTTTTATCTCTGTTATTAATTTCCAGTTCATTTCCACCATAGTCTGAGAACATACTTTGCGTTCAATTCTTTTAAATTTAAGATTTTTATTATGACCAAGGTACATTTTATCTTGATAATATCCACGTGTACTTAAAAAGAATGTACATTCCGCTGTTGCTGGGGTAAAGTGTTCTTGTAATATCAATCAGATCTAGTTGGTGGATAGTGTTGTTTAGTCACTCTGTACCCTTATGATGCTGCCTGCTACTATGATCTATTCCTAAGAAATCATGTGAAGTCTTCAAATGTAATTGTTAAGCTCTCTATTTCTCCTTTAAGTTCTGTTAGATTTTGCTTCATGTATTTTTAAGTTCTGTTGTTAGGTATGCACACATTTAAGATTGGTAAATTAATCCTTTTGTCAGTGTATATCCCATTCTTTATCCTAGGTTGTTTCAAAGTTTATTTTGATTGCTTAATATAACCACTGGTTTTCTTTGGATTAGTGTTTGCAGAATATATCTTTTCCTTTCATTTCACTTTTAACCTACCTATATTATTTTATTTGAAGTAAGTTTCTAAAGCAAATAATGGGGTCATTTTTTAATGGACTGTAATGATCTCTTTTAATTGATATGTTTAAAGCGTTTAAAATTTTAAAGTAATTACTGACAGGTAAAAATTTACATCTACCATTTCATTGTTTGTTTTCTACTAGTTCCCTTTTGTATTTAGCATTTTTTAAGTTCCACTTTACTTTATCCATTGTGATTCTAAATCGTATTTTGTAAACAGTGGTTGTAGAGACAACAATATACATATTAATACTGAACCTTTCAGAAGCTACTTAGAATCAGTATTTTACCACTTAATAGATGTATTACACTATATTCACTGAAAAACACACCAATGTTGTAATTCTTAACTATCAAATATATTTTAAAGAACTCAATTTATGATATTTACACAGATATTTACCATTCCTGTTGATCTTCTTTTATTTCTGATGTCCAAGTTTCCTTCTGGTATCATTTTCCCTTCTGTCTTAAGGACATTCTTTAGCAAATTTTAGATCTGGTCTTCTGGCAATGAAATACTCTCAGCTTTCCTTCATCTGAATATGTCCTTATGTCACTCTCATCCTTAAAAAATATTTTTGCTGGCTATGGACAGTTCTTTTCTTTAAGCACTTTAAGAAATTTTGCCTTTTCTTCTTGGCTCCATGGTTTCTGATGAGAATTCCTTAATCACTGTTCTCCCAGAGGTAATATGTCATTTTTCTCTGGTTGCTTTCAAGATTTTTGTCAAGACATTTTTTCCCCCAAGGCTCTGTTGAATTTTTAAAATTTCTTCCCCTCTGCTATTGAGTCATCCAGTGGGTTTACCCCTCTTACTGCAGTTTTCATTTCTAACAATGCCTTATCCTTTTTATATATTCTCTTTTTCTGCAGAGACTTTCTGCTTTTCCATTTATTTGAACGGCATCCACAATAAATCACTGGAACATTCATAAAATAGTTTCAATCAAGTCTCTGTCATATAATTCCAATATCTATATCGTGATGGTATATGTTGATCTCTTCTTCACATGTCAACTGAAGTTTTCCTGGTTCTTCATATGTTAGATAATTTTGGATTATAATCTGGACGTTTTAAATACACTATATAATTGTGGTTCTTGTTTAAATTCAGTGGTTAATGTTAATATTTTTGTTTTAATAGATGATTAGGTTCAGAATGCAAGTTTTAACATGGTTTCTATGGGTATGGTTCCATTATCAGTTCAATTTTCAAAGCCTTTGCTATGCTTTTGAATCTGTGTCACTCTGTATTATCCAATAATCAGTCTAGGACTTGGGCAGTAGTCTGTTACTTCCATGTATATACAGCAGGGGTGCAAACCCGTTAATCCATAAAAAACAAGAGTTAACTGGTAAAGCTTTGCACATAAAATGAAAACAGAAACTATAATATTTACATACATGCACAAAAACTAAACTTAACAATAAACAGTATCGTTGCAATACCAACAGCAGTCTTTCCCTCCTGGATACATTTTAAGATTCATCGTTATCTTAGGATAAGACAAGAAAAAGTACTTTCTTGACATTTGCTTTAGCTTATTTTTTCCTCTTTTTCATCTTTACCCTTTTACATTCATATGTAACTTAAAAATATAACATTCATATAATATAATAATGTTCATATAAAATAATTTAGCTCTGTCTCTGAAGTTAGAAAAATGGATACTAAAAAGGGAACACAGCCAGGTCAAGGAAAACTAGATTTGGGAAGGCAGCTTTAATATTTTAAGGCTAAATAACACCTTCAGGTAGATCCAACATCTCCTATACAATATCCTCATCTAGCATCAGACCCAAGTTTAACATTTTCCTATTTCCTGTAAAGGCTAAATAATGCTCACTTCTAAGTTCAGCCAGTTCTTCTACTCCGGAGACAAGTACCATATTTTACTAAATCAGAGTCAGCACTCCCTCTGGAAACCAACAAACGGATTCCTGCAGCAGTAAGACTACCATTCCAATCTGGCTCCTTGGGTTTTTAATAGAGGCTGGCTCTGTGCCCTTTAGGTAGTAATGTCAAGAACTCTTAAAGACACACACACACAGATATATAAATAAAATACAGGATAACAGTCTTCTAAAGCACAATATGTTAAACTATTAACACATCTGATGGGCCAAATCCAGACAGCTATCTTTTTTAAGTCTCACAGTTAAGGATGGTTTTTACATTTTTTAAATGGTTAGAGTTCAAATGGTTATGAGAATCTATATTCTTATCTTGAATTTTGCTCTTGCCCTGCACAATCTAAAATATTTTACTATCTGGCCCTTTCAGGAAAACTTTGCCAACTTCTTCTCTAAAGTAAAAACTATGTTTCCCTATAAATTCTAGCTATAGCATGTAAATATGACTATAAAGAACCAATTATTTCCAATGTTAAAATCAACACCATTTAAGAAGAAGCATGATCTCCATTTATATGTTGGTATCAACATGTATAATATATTACATATACACATGAAAAACAGCAGGAAGAAAATCAACATCAAAATGTCAAAATATAGTTAACTTATCTTGGTAAATGATATTTTCAATTTTTCTGTACTTTCCAAATCTTCTAAAGGTGACTGTATCTTTGTTACAACCAGCAAATAGTTGTAAAAGATTACAGTATACTTTTATAAGAACTTACAGAACAAAAATATCAGTGACCTGAACTGTAGTCATGTGGTTACTTACATACAGGTTCAGTAACAGTTTGGTATTCACCAATATCTATATAGCAAACTGTTAAGAAATAAAACGATGTTTTTACATCTTTCAACACACTAAAAAAGAGAAGTTCCTCTGTTTTGCTTATCAGAAGTCAGAGGCATTGATCTGAACTCAGTCACTACTTTGTAATTAAAATTCAGGCACACTACAAGATCTCTAATACAATTTAAAGTCCAATTCAAATATATTAATGTTAGTTTTAATGTATCTTTCAAAACATTTTTAAAATAATGATTAAAACTCCAAGTACACTGGAGTGCACAGGCACATTCTATACCCTCTTTACAGCTACAGTATTAACATTTAAAGTCATACTGATTCGTATAATTTCCTGTTAACAGTTCAAACAAAAGTATGTTTTTACTGATGGAAAATGAAATGTTACTACTAAAATATTCTGCTAACGCTAAGGTACAATGAATCAATCTTGACTGTATTCATGAACAGTATTTTAATTTCCTTCTTCAATAATTATGGCTTACATGTTTTAGCTATTATTTTGAAGCACATTATTAACTTTATAAACATGATATGACATACTAATATTTATAATATATGGTATGTCATTATGACCAATTTAATTTTGACTTGATAAATGAAAGGTTTACTTTGAAAGGTTAGAAGATACTTTAATAAAAGTTAAATCATCAATGCATTCTAAAATAAAAATTAATCTTCACTTTATGGTTTATTTCCTGGGTTTTTCTTGAAAATGCACATAAGTCTTACTTCTAAATGATGTCAAAGTCCAAATTTAATTCTCTCAAAGCATAAATTTAAATTAGAGTACCACATTATCAGACTACCAACAACAACTTTTCTTTCCAAGTGCTACTCACTTTCGATTCTCTTTAAGTGAAAGTGTTAGTCATTCAGTTGTGTCCAACTCTGAGATCCATGGACTGTAACCCACCAGGCTCCTCTGTCCATGGAATTCTCCAGGCAAGAATACTGGAGTGGATTGCCACTTCCTTCTCCAGGAGATCTTCCCAACCCAGGGATCAAACCCAAGTCTCCTGCATTGCAGGCAGAATTGTTCACCCTTTGAACCACCAGGAAAGCCCATTCCCTTTACAATACAATATTCATTGGTTTAAAAAAAAAAAACTAATCTCATTAAAATGTAAAAATACCAGCTTTTGAAAGTAAAAATTATTGATCATGCCATACACCAAAACTATAGATTCCACAGCTACTTAACACAAAACTAGAGCCTTAACTTCATATAAAACAGCAGCTTTATGAGTTGCCTTCCTCTTCCTCTTCTCTTGGTGATAGAAGCAAGCACTGAGCAAGAAACTTAAAACATCTTTTCAGAAAACAAAAACCACACTCTGCAGCCTCCGTTAGAATAATTCAAAGGCAAAGACTTAATTTCAATATTGAATTACTGCACTTATAAGCTGACATCAAAATTCAAGTATCCTCAAAAACTTATCTTACATAGGTAGACTAATATTACAAATCCTGATCCTTTTGTTATCAAGGAGAACCAAATACCATCAAAAATTCCAAAAATAAGTTTACTCATTTAAGAGAAAACAGATTTTGCAAGACTTTTTGTTTCATCCAAAATAAGTCTATCCTGCTAAGTTTTACATATAAACAAGTTTTGTCAGAACTGTACATAACAACATCTCTATACTAAATAGAAAATTTTGTCATTTACTCTAGGCTATGGCTTACTTTTTTGAAAAAACTGCAGACATGTATTCGGTAGCTCAAGTAAAAAGGACGCTTCATATACAAGGATATACAAAGGTAATTCAATTCTATAGTCAACAACCTTGTTTAAAACTTTCAAAACTAACTTATTCTAAGATATGGAGAAATTTAATAGATTATAAAATTGTTGTTAGATTTCTATTTTTGGTGTCTGCCATAATAAAAACTAAGGGTTTAAGCTGAGCTGCTTCTTTTACTTAAAAAAATTTTCCACAGTCAGCAACTTACAACAGGACATACTGTAATACCAAAATGGAAACTACTTAATCAACATTTCCTCATGGAAACACAGATCATACATAACAGTCTATAAGGGTAAAGTTTTATTTTTCAAAGCAGTACTTAATTTTATTTAGCAACACAGGTTCAATTTTTTTTCTGTGGTTCTGTCAACACACCCAGTTACTTTTAGTCAACATTGAAAATACACATATCAAAACACTGAAGTGTAAGCAGTAAAATAAAGCATATAAGGCAATTTTTTATAATGTTGAATAAAACTGTACTTTCATCTTTTTAGAACATAGGTCACTGTTTTTCAAGTCCTATGGAATAAATATTACCCTGTCCTCTTGCTACATGTCTGTAAAATTGTTTCTATGAAGAATTCAAGCCATGGGGAAAATCCAACAGTATGTGAATCATCCAATCCACAAATCTTTCACATTTCCAGTTTCAAATTACAATCATCTACAGCATCACAAAAAGCTGACAAAAGATTGAAAACTGTAGGGCATAATTTCAAAATGTTCCTCCTCCCTTTCTGCCCACTCTTCAAACCACACAGTTTAATAAACAACAAAAACCTCATAACTAAAATTCCCTCAACCTCGTAGTTGGTCTAGTTAGTTTTACCACATAATAATTTCTAAATTCTCTCATTTAAAAAAACACTACAAGAAATAACTTCTTTGGTCACTGAGCTCCTCATTTAAAGAGGAAAACTAATCAGAATTAAATAGGTTATAGTACAATTCATAAGGCTTTGTATCCCACAAGGAATTTTTTTTAAAAAGTAGATATCAGTTAATTAGACATCATGGGATAAATAAAGATACACTAACTATAAGGTCAACCTTCCTTCACTAAGTGCTATCTATTTTGTAACCCTAAATTACATGGCTTAAATTTTTTTAGCACATTTTTCCTGAAAATAAGAACTATAGTTACAAGCGTATGTATTTAGCTTTGGACTATGAGAAAAGAGAGACTTTGATAATCCGTATTTGCTACCATCCACATATCTAGATAAACAAACCAGGTAAGCCAAAATAAATCACAATATACATATGAAGACTGGGGAGACCCAAGGGAAGTAATATTAATTTGGTTTCTGACTCACACTTTTAAATAATCCCTTGCAATACTTCTCATTCAGTTGCCTCATTCTTTGTGCTTCCTCTTCACAACTAAGCTCACTTCCTAAGAGTTTTCATTTTGCAGAAATCAGCATTTATTGACCTCACAAAGTACATACAACTGCTGTTGTCAGCAAAGAACACAGGGATTGGAGAAAAAGCATCATAGAAGTACTGGAAGGATATGAAAGTTTACCTTCTCATACAGTAATGTTTAAAAAGGTTCAGGGTCTTAAATTTAAGAAATACTAAAGATTTTTAAATTTAAAAAGAAATATAGCATTCTAACCTAAGAGTTTATTTCATCTGACTGATTCAGGGTCTAAAATCATTCGTTTTACAACTGAGTAGAAAAGTAATTTCTATCACATTTACTGATAAGCAATATTATAGTTTCAGTATTTCTCAAAGTGTCTTAGAACAATCTTGCAAAGGTCCTTACAAACAAAAGTACAAGTCTCTTGAGGTCATCTAACATCTCATGAGACTTTTCATAATGGGATGGTGTTAATACCCAATGACCTGGTCTATTTCCAATTTGGATCATTAGTTTCTGCTTAACTAAATTACCACTACCACTACAAATGGCTCAGCCATTCTTCACTTCCTGTGTTCAACCTTAGTCCAACAGTAATTGTTAAATAAGCAAAGTGAAACTGCTTCTTTGGGTAACTATATAGCACCAAAAACATTTCATACTCCTTTAGGATTAGTAAAAGAGTTTAAGACATGGTCTGTTTTGATTGTTGGTTGTTTTTTTTTTTTTTACTATTATTTTGTATGGCACACACAATGTTCTGGTTTTAATTTTACACAGAAATTTTAGGTAAATCTCTTCCAAGAGAATTTGTTAGTGATAAGCTTAAGTGCTAACAAAGCTGTGAAATGGCAATTAAGGTTTTATTTCTCACCATGTTATTAATCAAACCTGAGCTAACACAAGGATGAAACAGCTACACAGATCCATATAGCCACTCCCTGTCTCCCCATCTCCACTCCCTGTCTCCCCATCCCTACCATCCACAAACATACACTTCTCTCCCCTTTCTCCCATCCCACCTTCTCTCTCTCCACCTCTGACACACACACAAACACAACAGGCACACGCTTCCCTAAATTTTTATATATGTACACATATGTATACCACATATATTTTTTATATGTACACATCATCTCAGACACATATACGGTTCATAAAAATTAAAACATAAAGATCATCCTCTCTGCATAGGAAAATGTTCTACAGATCTGTGGGAACACTAAAACAAAGAGGAAAAGGTCCGTAACCCCTGATTGAAAAATTCTAAAAATCAAAATTCAGACTGAAATTGAAGAAAGTGGGGAAAACCGTTAGACCATTCAGGTATGACCTAAATCAAATCCCTTATGACTATACAGTGAAAGTGAAAAGTAGATTTAAGGGACTAGATCTGATAGACAAGAGTGCCTGATGGACTATGGACAGAGGTTCGTGACACTGTACAGGAGACAGGAATTAAGACCATCCCCAAGAAAAAGAAATGCAAAAAAGCAAAATGGTTGTATGAGGAGACCTTACAAATAGCTGTGAAAAGAAGAAAAGCGAAAAGCAAAGGAGAAAAGGAAAGATGTTCCCATCTGAATGCAGAGTTCCAAAGAAGAGCAAAGAGAGATAACAAAGCCTTCCTCAGAGACTAGTGCAAAGAAATAGAGGAAAACAACAGAATGGGAAAGACTAGAGATCTCTTCAAGAAAATTAGAGATACCAAGGGAACATTTCATGCAACAATGGGCTCAATAAAGGACAGAAATGGTACGGACCTAACAGAAGCAGAAGATATTAAGAAGAGGTGGCAAGAATACACAGAAGAACTATACA